GATAATACACGATAGTATTTACCTTTCCTGGGATTGTGTGCACGGCTACCTTTGTTGTTTGGGGTAGGACGTTCCTACTCCCGTGTCCCGGGTCCTAGAAGTCATCCTTACCGTACGCCCAAAAATGGGAAGAAAGTCAAGTAACCTGCCCATCTTGTGTTGAGGAATCTTCCCCTATTTTGGCTGCCCATGTGTTTATGGGAGCCTCCTCGTGAACCGACGAACACTTGCCTGCACCCTCACTTATCGCTTGAAAAGAACTGCACAAGCACATGGTTTCAATGCAGAAGCTAGACTAGACCTTACCTGGCAAATAGTTGTCCATATCTGAGGAATTCGACGTTCAGGCGAACTTCATAGATTTGAACAATTCGAGGAAACATCGACTCACTGGAGACCTGGTTTTCCCACATACGTCACGCGGACCTCCCACCAGTTTACCTGGCCTTACACCATTGTCTGCACCCCACCAGGATGGAATAGCCGCAATGAATTTGCTATGATCTAACAGAGACCTGCTGACAGTAGATTCATTCGGTCATGGCCATTTAGACTCTTTTTAATGTACTTATTCAAATTTCCAGATTTTTTGTCTTCTTATAAAGTTAATATCATGTGAGCCTCTCTGCAAGATTTTGTCAGAGGTTCTAGCCACCTGACGGAAAACATTTTGGTCCCTAGCAGACACTTCTGATTTCGCTGATACTACCTTCTCATCCCCACGAGTAACCACTGGCCAAACACCCCTCTTGCTGTGGTCTTTACATTATTTCAGTCTTCCCTTTCGTGTTTATTCTTTTAGGCTGTTCCGAAGGCTGTCCAGCCGGAATGTACATCGCTAGACCTTGTACCGCACATAGCGATCTTGTCTGTAGAGGTGAGTGTGTTATTGAATTGGAAATTGAGTTATTACTTCCTATTCGCCAGTAGTAAATTCCCAACGCTGGGAATTATAGACTGCCTCTCTGGTCATACCAGTTTCCAGCTTCACAGCAGACTCCTGCCTCGAATGCTTTCTCCCTCCTACCTGAGATTCAAACACACAACTTTTTCAGTCGCAGATGAAGGTGCAGAATACAAATTTTAAGTCTTCGAGGATTGTTTCGGCAGCATAATTAACAAAACGTACATATTGTAAATGTATCCAAAAGCCGAGATATTGCCGTCCAATTACACCGTGTGTGAGTCCCCAAGGAAGAACACAACACGAAGAGCGCAAAAGTAGAAGCCATTTAGCAAGCATAGTACAGTGTACTAATGCAAGCAAAGCGTACAAGATTTGCCCAATCAGATTGTGGCCTCCAGTGGCTAGCGGTTCGATTGACTTTCTGACTCCTCCGCCTGGCGTGGTAGAGTCCATTGTCTGGTTGCAGCTGGCGCGTCATC